TTTTTTTTTTTTTAAGAATATCCGATGCAGGACGATGCTCAAGCTGAAATGAGAAGGCTGAAGCTTGAGCTGCAGAGGACCATGGAAATGTACAGCACAGCATGTAAAGCAGCTCTAACAGCAGAACAAAAGGTAAAAAAAATCTCTGAGTTCAAAAGTTCTACACAACTACTACAAGAAAAATGATTTAACAAAATGTTAAAATAAAAGCAGGCAATGGAGCTTCACAGGTGGCGAGAGGAGGAAGAACGAAGGCTAGAAGAGGCCCGTCTAGCCGAGGAATCGGCCCGTCTAACTGCCGAGCAAGAGAAAGCCAAGTACAAAGCGGCCTTGGAAAATGCGCAAAGAGCAGCAGAAAATGAGTCCCAAAAGAGAGTGAGTTCCGAGACGAAGGTCTCAGACGAGAGGGCTCAGAGTCCGTTGGCCATGAGATACAGAAGGTACACTACAGATGAGATCGAGAAAGCCACCGAGTTTTTTTCTGAGAAGCTTAAAGTTGGGGAAGGTGGCTATGGCCCAGTGTACAAGTGCCACCTGGACCATACACCAGTTGCCGTTAAGGTCCTCCGGCCAGATGCCGTTCAGGGAAGGTCGCAGTTTAATCAAGAGGTCGGTAAAAAACAAAAGCTCGGTTATGAACGATTTCTACTTGTGCATGCATATTTTTCTCCTTAAATATCTTTCCTCAACAATTTGACTCTATCGAAAGATTTAAGGCTGGAATGAGACCCCAAAATTACCTACATTTCCTTGCATATTGAGACCTAAGGCTGTGTTTGGTAAGCATATAAGCTAGCTTATAGCTTATATGATTAGCTTATAAGTTTCTTGTATTTAAATAAGCTTGGTCTGGTAAGACGAGCTTTTGTAAAAAGCTCGAACTTATCTCATAAGCTTCCTTCCTTGGGTAGTTTTTCAAATAAGTCCATTGAAATTTTTATTCTAAGTTAATTTTATCAAACACTTTTATCATATAACCTAGATTTTCAGCCTCATAAGCTATATCAGTTATGAGCTCGAAATTCACTTAAAAAGCTATAAGCTAGCTTATCAGCTAGGTTTACCAAACATAGCCTAAGACAGCCAGCACACCACAATTATCTCACGTACGAGCTCAAAATTAGACGTATTATAAACCGATTTTTCTCTTTTTTTTTTCATTTTTTATCAGGTCGAGATCTTGAGCTGCATGAGGCACCCGAACATGGTACTCCTCCTCGGCGCATGCCCCGAGTACGGCTGCCTTGTATACGAGTACATGTCGAACGGCAGCCTCGAGGACCGTCTCTTCCGCCACTCTGGCAGACCTCCGCTGACCTGGCAGCTCCGATTCTGCATAGCCGCCGAAGTTGCAACGGGGCTCCATTTCCTCCACCAGGCCAAGCCCGAGCCTTTGGTCCATCGAGACCTCAAGCCCGGTAACATCCTCCTCGACCACAACTTTGTGCCAAAAATCGGTGATGTGGGCCTGGCCCGTCTCGTCCAGCCTTCCTATGCCGCCAGCGAGGACTCTGTCCACCTCCGCATGACATCAGCTGCCGGGACATTCTGCTATATTGACCCAGAGTATCAGCAGACAGGCATGCTTGGGGTCAAATCGGACCTTTACTCGTTCGGGATTATACTTTTGCAGCTGCTGACAGCTAAGCCAGCTATGGGGTTGGCTCACCATGTGGGCCGGGCTGTCGAGCGGCGGGCTTTGAAGGAGGTTTTGGACCTGGATGTGCCGGATTGGCCCGAAGAGGAGGCCATGAGGCTTGTGAGATTGGGCCTGAGGTGTGCGGAGATGAGGAGGAAAGATCGTCCGGATCTCGGTAAAGTTGTCTTGCCGGAGCTTATTAGGCTGAGGGAGTTTGCTGAGGAGAATATGGGGCAGTTTCTTGTGGATGGCATGGCCCGTTTTTCCGTAGGTCGAGTTTCTGCGGATCGTAATAAGGTCAGTAAAAGTAAAACAGGAATTGCTTTTGTTTGAGTGATAATGGAAAGTGATTCTCAAGTAAGGACTCGAAAGATGGAAGAGATGGAGCGTAGAATTTTCGAAACCTGGCTGTTTGGTTTCGATCTTCGCCCGTGATTTGAAGCATGTATATTGACTTTGAAAAGTTTGTGCAGGTAATGAAGAGTGAGCCTAAAGTAAAACTTAAATATAGCACACCAAAAGCCTGTCTGAGTACAGCATCTCTACCAGACAACCTATCTGGTATGATCATAAGTCATAACAGCCAAGAAACTATTTTTGTGGAACAAAAATTTATATAAACAAATAAGCAGTTAGCATGTTTTAAGTTAACCTAAAAACAATAGTCTCTTACTCATTCTGTTTTCTTCTCTTTTTCTCACAGAAGCTACTGAATGAGCTCAACAAGAAGACAGTATATAAGGATCCAACAAATGGATAGTTTTTTTGTCAATCTTTTGTTGTATTATTGATTTATTTCTCTTTCTGATGTTTTTGTAGCTTGTACTAGAACAGGAGTAGCCAAAGATGCCCTGAAGCTTACTGTCTGCTATACAGTTTTGTGACTTTTGTCTGAGAACTTGAATTAAAGTATATGTATAGTGATTCTTATATGATGTAAATAAAAATGAGTTTAGTTGACAATACATGATTTTAATATGCAATCATAATATGCTCACCAGCTGATGTGGCAGAAAACTATATAGCGATAGATAAGCATACTATACATTACGAGTATGGTATTCAAAAATCACGAGATGAGATCTTGACATGTGGCCGATAAACACATCTTAATGTACGAGCATTTCCATGTTTTTCATATGCTTGTGGAACTAACAAAATTCCCTTTAAGAGTAAGGTAATGAGTTATGAATGTATTGACTGAGAGGTGTTGAATTATGGTCGTGTTTTTCATATGCTTGTGGAACTAACAAAATTCTCTTTAAGAGTAAGGTAATGAGTTATGAATGTATTGACTGAAAGGTGTTGAATTATGGTCAACTATAGACGAGTGACAACGTGTGTTATTAAACATTCCTTCACAACTACCATTATAAAATCTTACATCAATACTTCATAATGAGAAAATTGTTATCAAAGATAATAAAAGAGAACACTCCAAGTTCAGATGAAAAGTGTCTGCTGCATTGATCACAAAAATAGAGAAAACAGAAAACTTAAGAGGTTTCACTTTCATTCGATTGTTTATTCTTTTCAGAAGCTATCTTTTCACTCAAAGCATCCCAAAAGGCAGGTAGAGCGACACCATCAGCAACTTCCTTGAACGATGGCAGGTAATTCACGTCTACGATTACATGGTCGCCAGTGCCTTCTTGAATCTGAAGTTTACGGAAAAGATAAAATTAGATAAAATTTTCAGCAGGCTAGAGAAACATGAAATAGAACTAGATGTAATTAAATAAAATTTCTTTTATGCATAATCGTATGATTATTAGTGCTTTATTCATGCCAAAGAATAGGGTAGAACTGGGGACCTAATCCACCAGTTGTGGTACTGTTTTTACACTGAAGTTGGCTAACACACATGGGGACATTAATCATAACAATCGAGTTTCACTATGCACTTTTACTAACTGTAAAAATTCCAGTCTGTCAAGTCACTTTTCTATACTCCCATTTTGGACAAAAACAATACGGATATGCTAACATGTCGAATTGCGAATAGGACGAAAGAAAAATAGTTGTTCCGAACAAAATAAAATAATTTACTCACAACAGCATCAAAGCCGAATATTGTAAGGTCGAGTGTTCTTCTAAGCCAGTTGGCAGCATCATTAACAAGATCAAGATCAAGCTGATGGTTACTAGCACTGAGTTGTTCTGTAGCAACAGGTAGAGATTTTAGGCTGCAAAACAAAGAATTATATTAGTTCATTTTCGGAATGCCATATGGGAAAATGATTATCAATTATGTAGAAGCATAATGCTTAAGATTGGAAAGGTGTAAGTACCTGTCAAAGTGTAAAGGTTTCGATCCCTTGTCCGCAAATAAGTTCATTAAGATATCAGTATTGGGAATCGACTTTTTTACAGCATAAAAGACCTTGCTGCCCAAGGCATAGAATTTGTAAATCAAAGATGAATGATCAACATATTCCTGCAGGAGAAAAAGGTTTTGCTGTGATTGGACAAACTTTTATTTCTTTCACTTTCATCATCACAGTTGAAGACAACAGTTAAAAGATATTACAGAAAAATGAAAATGAATTGGGGGAGTGTGAATGGTTTAACAAGGTACACAGACATAAAAATGAAGTCTGCTCTTCAACTTCACCAACTGAACACGGCAAATGCCAACCATGTAAGAAACCAGTCCTCAAACTTACCAATCATGCGTAAAATGAACCCTCCGATTTAACCATAAGTCCCTTACCTGAACAACTGCTGGAAGAGGAACATTGAGATCCTTGTATTGGTCCACTTTAAAAACAATTGCCTGCCAAATATATCAAATCATTGTTAAAAAATATAACCTTATTTAATTATGATTTATTTCTAAAACACTGCAGGGCGTAATCTTTACTTATACTTCATGCTTTCTATAATTAAAGCTACATTTAAGATATTAGCAATTTAGAATGGTGCTACAGTTGCCAGTAATGAATAGTTGCAATGTTGAGTAGCTGTGCAATGATCTCAGATGTAGAGCTTATAAGTAGGTTTCCACAAAAAGCTGAGGGAAAACCAAATATAATAGTTTGTTCAAGCACGGGAGGCTGCAGAATCAACAAAATGAAACAGTATTTTCTTGATAATGCCTAGAAAACAAATTTTAATGAAGCATGCCCGTCTTGCTTATATTTCCTTTTTGCCCGTCAACAGATTCTAACTAAATTCGACAATCAACTATCTGGGACTAATTTTTTACAGCAAACAGAAACTTTAGATAATCTAATTGTTATATTGGTTGCTAACAAGATGAAAATTTGAAGAGTTTCAAGCCTACACAAAATCCAGACTTCAAAAGAAGGTGCCTACCATACTGTGAGCATTAGATACACCGCATGCAACTTGAGGTTTCACTATATTAGGTAAAGACAACTTTGCTTCTGCTAGCCTCTGCTCCAAATACGGCTGATGGAAGCTATCAACCTGCAATCTGAGGTTCAACTGTAACGGAAACTCCTGATAACGCTTTAAGATTCTGGAAGAACAAACATATCATAGCTACTGTTGCTACAAAAACAAACATTTCTTTTTTTTACCCCAGAATATGTTGCTTTCCTTCTGTTATTTCCTCTAGTCCATTGGAATCGGAAATAGCCATTTATGTCAGAATTAGATACCAAATCTGATATCCAGAAAATAGGACAAGAATTGGTCCCATAGGTGAAGCTGATTCATACATCGCCTTTGACCAACTCCCTACTTAAGTTTCAATCAATGAATTTCCAGAGATATATAATACATACTGCATTTAAACTCTCATTAAATATAGCAACCAAACTGTACACAGATTCTTCCCAAACAATAAACTCGATGAGAGTATGTCATCGTAAGAAAGATATACTCTATGATAACTGACCTTGAGAAAATGGGGAGCTCTTATTTTCGAACGGCCATGGATGTTGAGAGCTTCCAAGCCAATTAGAATCTGCTGGATTTCCAGACGATCAAGTATAGGGGATATGTTACTAATTGGGTCGATTACGCAACAAACAGGCTGTGATTTCATACACCTGCAAATCATAACTGCATAAGTCAACAAAAAGATTCTGATTATCCAACAAATAATTCGAGATTCGACACAACAGAACACAACTTTTGACTACATACTAAAGTTTGCAATTTTTTTATTCAGTACAGTTTGCCTCTAGTAACTTGTACAATGTACAAAAGGAAGCAGAAGTCAGAGAAAGAAACAACGCAAAGACAAGTAACACGTCTTAATATCAAAATGAAAAAGGCAAAACAAGTAAAGGGAAAGTAAAGACCCCCTCACTATAGCAAAAATTATTTGGATACCAACTTAATTTTATCAATGCAGAGTACTACGTATCCCCAGAGATAAATATAGCAAAGGACTACTGCAGGTTAAACGCAACATATAATCACATAACTAAATTTTCCAAAAAGTACACAAAACATCATTTTATAAAGCTCTATTAGATCTACTTTATATCCAGGAGCCAATTTACGATATTACCATTTTGTAAAAGAATATAATCTTTAAAAGTTGGTCCCAAATTCTCTTAAGTATCCACCTCATATCATGGAAAGTCATATGAGAAATAATAGCCCACACATTATGAGAGTTTAGCGGTCAGCAATATTTTATCTAGATAGTGCATGCAGATAACACTCTCCGTTCAAATGAGGTAAGATTACAAGCTTCTGTATCACTCAGTTCAAAAGACATAAAAACCTAAATTTTCTTAAAAGGGTTCAAGATTCATCAACTTGAATTTAAGATCTACGGAGTATTGGCAGAACAGGAAGTTATACATGAAAGGCAAAATTCACGTTGCACAATAAGGAAACTAATACCAAGATCCCGGCACATTCTTACACGCTTATTGAACTGGTTTCCAATGGTAAACAGAAAACACAATAATGACAAGGGAAACAAAGTGGAAGTTTAGATTTACTTTTGCAACTCTTGTAGATTACTTGTAAACGTGACTTTTTCACTTAATTCTGAAGGACTACACATGTCAACAGCCAAGATTTCATCTGTTGCCTTATGAAGAACTGCATCAACTAGTTTTAACTGGTGTGTTAAGGGAAGTTCATACTGAAGGGGCAAAAACATCAGCCCATTTTGTGTTGGACGCAATGGAAAGGCGCCTCTCTGCAAAATAAGAAGTCGTGTAAGAATTTGTGATTTCTCATAAGAATGTGATATTTCATGATCCAGAAAGCCACAGATGTGCCTATAGGGTAGCGGACAAGCTGTAATGCAAGAGATTAGAACAGCATGAAACAATTCATGTCCAAACATGAGCAAAACAAAATAACAGTACTCCAGAAGCACTAAGATCAGTTAATATTGATAAGAGAGAAACCCGGTACAGCACAACAATGATAAAGATAACGACAGGTGCATAGACTGAAGTCTACTCCATTACTTCAGGCAATTGCATACACAATCTTGAGCCACCTGCAATTTTACTCCTCACTTTGAAAGTTAAACGGCCTCTGCCATTACAGTCAAGTGATTGTTCATGTTAATCTTTGAGGTTATTATCACTAGTTTAAGTGAAATATAAAAGTGGATATCATAACAATAATGCAGCTAGTACCAAAAAGAGGTAGGTTTAACCTATTAAATGCAAGAGGGCATAAACGGTGTCACCGAAGGGATGACAATATCATGCGTCACGCAGGAAATACTTTGTGTAGTATTAAATTATTACCTTTGCAAAATCTTCTTCTCGAGAAGGCTTCATCACGTAGCCCACTATCAAGCCCTCGCCATGCATTGCCTGCGTTAAAACAACGGAAGATGAATCTTTTTTGGGAGATTGTTGGGCTGAACAACTCAATTAAGGGATACAAACAAGCAGGTAACGCAGCACATCACATAAATGAAACGTCACAAAGGCAACTTCCAAATTGTGTTTCTGCATAGAAAAGTAAGGCTCGGGATGGAAGCTGAATATGTATAATGGATTCGTAAAATGCAGATACATCGTTATGGTCAAAGTTCTGCGGCATGATAAATACTCCGATAAGATTGTATAGTTAGTTTCGAGTGTGGAATAAAATTTACTGGGATATTACAACAGCAGTTCATCAAACAATGATCTCATGAGAAACATTCAACTCCACAATTTTAACGATGTTGTTAAAGGATGAATTTCAGACCAAGGTCTAAAACAGTTCACATGAATTAAAAACTAAATATATCATAGCAGAAGCAACATCCAAAAACTACAAAGAACAATAGAGGCAGTGACATATAAGAAACAAATGCAAATACCTTTTTATTCAAACTGCAGATCAACAACAGCAGCTCTTCAAGTTTCTGGATAAAGATGTTTGATGTCCCAGTTGCAACATCATATCCGGGATCTGTGACGAAATTTCAACTCAACTTAGCAGAAAATTAATCGTACAGCTTAAAACAAACCTAACCAAAGAGCACAGAAAGGTACATAAATAATCAGAACTATGATACATTTCTAGTTATCAAAGACGTGGAAGTTAGCTTGCCTTGAGGCCTACCATTAAATGGATTTTCTTCAGCAGAACCTGTAAATTAGAAGAGAGATATAAGATGGTAAATCCTTTAACACAGACACACACTCTAGAAAAAAGATCCGGCTAAATACTCTAATTGTTTTATCCTACCAGTCCCAACGGCTTGGCAAAGATAACAACCTATTAACTGGGTGATTACCAATTTTTTGTGCTTATCAGGCATCTCACTCACGATGCAAGACGTTAAACATTTTGCAGGTCCTCACTAGAGTTTAAAAATCATCATCTGTAAATAAATGTAAAAATCTCCAAGAAACAGAGCATGCTTTCGAAAGGATAAGTAATACGTGAATATATAGAAAAACGTGATTTTCTTAAACATTCTTTTCTCCTCTAGAATGACAAATTACTAATTACCCACTATAACCTTCAACCAGCCAACTCCAGCCTCTTTGTGGTATATATCCGCTTTGCAACCACTTACGACATAAATGAAAGTTCCTCCATTGCCCTCCCAGATATGAGCAACCTTACTAGAAAGATCATCCTCTGGTGATAAGCAGACGTTAGTGCAGCAGTAGGTATTAGCCAGCTCTTGCAGAAGACACTCCTATAACAGGTAAACAACTTTAAGGCTCCCCATTGTTGAAAACAAAAATGATCCCAGCTGAGAGATAACTATAAAAAGTAGTGGCATGGAAAAGAATCTTACTTTTGGCCTAGAAGGACCTGGTTCATGGGATATGCCCTGCAAAAATTTTTGATAACTTGCATCGTGAAAACTAATCTATATCAAAAGAAAATGCAAAAGAGAAGGCTACATAAAAATGTTAGCTTCCCTAAACAAAGAAAATGTGACTTGTATTCCACATTCCCAAAATGCTCGCAAGACCAGCACGAACCAAGCTAAATCCTTCACCTCCTTATCAAGAAACTACAAACAATTCGGAGGACTAAATAATTTGCTTTCATTTGAAAGCCGTCGGTAGTGCCAACGAAACTGCATATGTAATTCCAACAGCCATTGCAGTCGACGCGAATATCCAACAAGTTCAGAGCTCAAGTTCTCTTTCACCTAATAAAAGTTGATTCGGCGCAAGCCCAAATTCTATATTTATTACCTAAACGTTCTGCTAGAAGGGTCTACAACTTCATCAACAACGCATCAATTCCAAAAAATAAACATTTCAATTAGACATTCCAAACCATTAATCTCCATAATCAACCAATTCAAATCACAAATTCAGCGGTACAGATAAGAAATCCATAATACGCATATGAACATCCAAAAGGCACAAAAACCGGCGAATAAGAAACATTTACGAATGGGATTTTGGAGTAGCGAAGCCTGCGCAGCAGTAGATCGGCGCCGGGACGGAGGACGGCATCTCCGTTTGCATCGCCGGCGGAGGGAGATATCAGTAAATCGGACTCCACCAGAATCCCTCTCACTACACCCATATTTTCTCTCCCTAATTTCAGCTGTCCGTGTGAGACTAGTGAGCTTTTGCATGGACTGGAGGGGATTCTTCACCTACAGTAAACGGGGCATAAGAATCGAGACGCGTGCTTCTTAGGCAGAGAAGCTCTAGAAGAGGTCGTGCGTTGGAAAACATGAACCGGAAAAAATGAAATCCATCATTATATAAAAAGAATAACCTATTTATAAATTTAGAAACTTTTTCCCGCTAAAATCATTAAATATATCATACATATAGTAATTGTTGGACAAACCTGAATAAGCAAAAAAATCAGTTCATTAATTGTGTAAAGATTTGTTTCTTTTTTTTCTGTTTTTTAGTTTATCAAAACCGTTGTTTGACAATAAATATTTATTTTTCTTTTTCCTATTTTTACTATAAATCTACACGAGCTTATCTCTTTTGTTACAAAATCTCAGTGCATAAGTCTCACGTCTCATCCCTTATCTATAGAGATTTGAAAAAATAAAATAAAATAGAAACCAATTCATAATTACTACTAGAAATTCATTATCTACCTTAAGAAGCTAATTTTCATCGGTCTAATTACTAATATTTTTACAAATATTATAAGCTAACCATACAAAAAAGTATAATAATAATTTTGGAATGGTGTGTGATCAAATTTTTTTATATTCTCTTATACAAAATAATTTTACATTGTTTGACCCCGAATCTTTAATTTATAATTATTAAGTATTTTTTATCCTCTTCTTTAATTTATAATTATTTTTTTTCTTCCTCTTTTTAAATAGGATCAATAGTAGTTTCCACTTGCGCCATTGAGTGACTCAAACTCGAGGTCTATTTATAATATTTAATATTGTTCCCGTGCATCGCACGGGATACACACTAGTAGTATATATATAAGAGGAACAAAGAGTTAAATTATCTTGCTTGAATTTTATTTTTCCTTAAAAAATTTCAACATTCAATTTTATTAGTTTTTTGCATTAAATTTTATTATCCCTTCAAAATTTTCAACATTCAATTTTATTAGTTTTCACATACCACCTAAAACTATTACATTCAAATTCCAAAATGATGTAATGTTGAGTACGTAAAAATGATTCACACAATAATTTAGATTTTAAAATTACAAAATCAAATAATTAAGAAATAAAACTAATAATATCCAGTCATCTATTTCAATATATATATATCCACCTACAAGAAAAAACAATATATCTAATTGTATAAATTATTAATAATAAATTATATTTAATGAAAAGTCATACTCCGGAAGAGAAAGAGAAAAGAGAACCGCCAATATATCTCATTATCATGTTGTCATATTTTAATTATATATATGTTTTCTTATTCTCAATCCAAATATTATGGTGCAATATTATTTACTAATGTCATTTAACTAAAAAGCATTACCTAATTAAGAGATGTCAAATTTTCTATGGCGTTATATTAAAATATTGTATATAAAATATAAATATTGTATATAAAATATTTTTTAATAATATTTAGAATTCTTTTTTTAATTAACATTTTTTCTTGAATTAAATTATGATTAGTATTTTTATTTTTCTTATTTTCTTATTTTCTTTTCTATGAAAGTTATGTAGTTGTGTGAATTAAATTTTGTATATGTTTAATGAAAAGTCATACTACGTTTTTGATTACTAATATAAAATTTTATATTCCATTAAAGTGAATTTAATGGAGTATAAAATTTGAGTAGAGGACAATTTATTAAACAAAATACTCATTATAGTTGCCTTTATTTCGTAACGTTTTTGCCTCGATTTTTGACAGTTTGACCCGACTTTGAGTGTTCAATTCATGCTCAAATGATGTCCTTAAGATTTTACACATGACCTTAAACAAATCAACCCTTGTGTAATTCATTCAAAAACTATAATTAAAAAAAATGTATTTATCAGGACTAGCAATTAAAGCTAGCTTAACAACTCTAATTTCTTTTATTTAAATACCAATTTTATCAATCATATTCATACCCATCTATTATCTAGGATTCTTGCTTTAAGTTACGGTCTTCATTTTGAAGATATAATTATGAAAATGAAGGCCTAAACTGTGTTAAAAAAAATAAGGTTTCAGTGTCCCCATTAAGTTAAATAATGACCTGAATTAGATTTCACAATGTTTAATTCACAAAACCAGAACTTTTTTTTCAAATGCGTAAATGGCAAAATCACAGAATTTAGAAAAACACAACCAGCAATTTTGATTCATAAAGGTAGACAATCAACAGCCTTTACATCAACACAGATAATTCATAACCACCAAACAACCAAACAAAACAAAAGGAACTAAACTTCGCCCAAATCAGAAACTAATTTCAAATCTACGCAGTCAAACCCTAACTCAAGAGCTGGTGAACTTTGTGACGGCCTTGGTTCCCTCAGAGACGGCGTGCTTAGCCAACTCCCCAGGAAGCACCAACCTCACGGCGGTCTGGATCTCGCGAGAGGTTATGGTCGGCTTCTTGTTGTACCTCGCGAGACGGGACGCCTCCTGGGCGAGCTTCTCAAAGATGTCGTTGATGAAGCTGTTCATGATACCCATGGCCTTGCTCGAGATCCCGATGTCCGGGTGAACCTGCTTCAAAACCTTGAAGATGTAGATCTTGTAAGTCTCAACGCTCTTCTTCGACCTCTTCTTCTTCTTGTCGCCGGCGGCGCCGCCCTCCTTGGGAAGTTTCTTCCCGGCCTTGGGCTTCTTCTCCGCAGGGGCCTTCTCGGCGGCCGGCTTCTTCTCGGCGGCGGGCTTCTTCTCGGCCTTGGGTGCCATATTTTCAGAGAGAGAGAGGGGGGATATGTGTGGGGGATTTCTTCAGAAAAATTTGGTGAGGGATGATTTTGAGGCTAGGGCGTACGAGGATATTTATATGGAATTAGTGCTGAAAGCTTATTGGTTGAGGTTGTGGGGCGCGGATCATGAATAGTGAGCGTCGATTGAGATTTTTGTATTGGACGGTTAAGATTAAGGCGCCCTTTTTCGATTTGTTGCTTGAAATTTGGATTTTGGATAACTTTGAATATTTTTCGTTTGGCGCCGTAATAGGATGAAAAAGAGGTCTAATTACAAAATCAAAACGCCCTTGCATTGAATTTTCCATCTATATCAACATTTATGTAAACAAAATATTTTTTTTGGATGAATTAGTAAAATTTATGAGACGAATTAAAAATTTATTTATATATCAGTCACTTATTTTATGTAAGTGCGCTTGAACGGTGCTAGGTCAATGTCGGGCCTTATTTATATATTTTCACTTAAACACTTTTATGTGATAATTCAAAAAGACCGATTAAAGAAAAAGTGTGGAAACATTTGTGTAAAATAAGTATATAGTGAAAAAATATATGTCAAACGGTTGAGAATTGTTGTTGGTGACAGCTGGTAGCTTGTCCAGACCAATGGTCATTGGTCGTACACAGCAGCTGGTTGCAACACAATAAGGCCCGACATTGACCTAGCACCATTCAAGCGCACTCGAAGAACACCAGAGCTCCAGAGTGTGGACGCGCTCACCATGACCCACTACACCTGATAGACATGCTTGCACTAGCGACTATAAATTATACTCGTGCCCACAACATCGAATATCATTCCTCCATATAATTTGGATAATTCTAACAAAAAGTTTGATAATTTGAAAATATTTAGATCTAAAACTATTTCGATAGTTATTAACAAGATAATCTTTATCATTTTTATCTAGCTAGCTTTTTAGACGCAGTAGGTAGAAGTATATGGGATATGGATTATGGAGGGAGAAAGTAAGAGATCGAGCTGACGAAAGCCCGTGGAGATAAGTAGCATAGAGAGGAAGACGAAAGTGGAAAGCGAAATTGCATCCATATTTGGCTGCAAAAATTGGAATATGCAAATGAATAGAATTTAGACATTTTAATCATTAGACATTTTTTTTTTCTGTAAAACTTCAACTAGTATAAAAATTAAAAGAAGATACAGAGGCGTTCCAACTGGAATTGAACACATCATCTACAAGACTGTAGACAAGTGAAACAAAGGCAAAACAGCCTTACAACTAAAACATCATCTAGCAAGAAAAAAAAAGCACCTAAAGCCAAACTAACCGAGCAAACTAAAAAAGGAAGAACTAAACACAAATAGCAGTACAACCCACAAGAACCAAAGAGAACCAACAGGACAACAGATCATCAACGTTGGCCTACTAACTAATGACATATCAGACCAAAAACCAATCAAACTGCAACCAAGAACACACACTTTAAAACCATCACAACAGCCTAAACAAACAAGAAAAATTAGGGGCAAGTATGACCATAAAATTCTCATTTGCTTCTTCAAACTCCAACCATTCAAGCTTAGCACCTTTAACCACTTCCACCTCAAATCTCCACTCTTTACTAAACATCTAGGAGTCTATGGTCTTCCACAGCCACCACAAAATATAAGTAGAGAGATGTATTATATCTATAATAGATCTCTCATATGAACTTTGACATAGACAAATTTACCAGTTCTGAAGAGATGCAGGAGAAGCACTCACACTTTCCCAATCAATTCCTGCCAACTTCCAAACCAGAGAGGCCCTTCAACAATTAAAGAATATATTATATATGTTCTCTTCTTTCTCACCACACTTATGACAAATAGGATCCACTGCCACATATTTTTTTCTTCAGTTGGTCAACAATACTTAGGAACTTGAAGCAAGATCTCCACAAAAAGTTCTTTATTTTGTTTTCACCTTCAGATTCAAAGTTTTGTGCCACAATTTAGCCATTTTGGGAGAATATGTACTCGATTCATGAGATTGAACCAGCGAGCTTTTACAATTGAGAATCCTACTTTTGTGATGTCATGCTTTAAACTTCCTATAGTGGTATGTCAAGAAACATTTTGATATGATCTTCTTGATAGACATTTTGCATGCATGTTTGTTTTCCAATTTGGAAGATGAAAATGAATATAATTTGTGACATTTTAATCATTAGACATTTAACACTAACTTACTGATATGACTCTCCGCAATTTTGAAAGATGAGAATGAACAAAATTTGGGACATTCTAATTATTAGATATTTTGACAACAACTTATCAAAATGACACTCCAATTATATGTTCATTTGACAGTTCTGGAAGATATAAATTAATAGATTTTGGGTCATTTTAGTTTAGAGATATAAATTTGGGTCCGGTTTTGACAACCTTGGTATGAATTAGACAAATTTAGAGATGACAATTTGGCTCGAGCACAATTTGTTCCACCTCATCCCCTCATGTAGCCTTTGGGTTAGCATAACCCTGCCCCTTTACAAAATGGGTTAGGTTCGCCCCGTTTCACGAACGAGATAGGTTTTGGTATTTAAATTCCTCCCGCCCCACCCCGCCCCTTATTTATGAATAAAATTACTAAGATTTCAAAATGGCCCAATAGGTCTAAGAGGCCCAATAAAAATGAATACAAAACCCGTCTAAAGTCTGCAGCTTTAAGAAGCCTATTTAGGGCATGCTTTTTTATAAATTATTTCATTTTCAATCCAATTCATACTCAAAATCTAACTCAACTTTAACCCAACTCCATTATATTTAATATTACTCATATAATTAAATAATACAAACCAATCATTCTTACACATCACATCAACTTTAATTCACTATTCATCCACTCACATAATTTTAACTACCTATTATTTCTAATCATTTCCAATCATTTATCTTTTACTTTTACATCAAATCAATTTTAATCATTTTATTTTAAATATTATTTTAATACATTCTTAAAATCCCACTAACAATTAACCATACTACCTTTTTCAAAATTAACTCTAATTAACTAAAATAACTCATTTTGAATGAAATATTTCATAAACAAGCACGCCCTTAGCTTTCTCCTTCATAAGTTTGCACGATTCCGCCACCACCTTCACAACTAACCGCAAGTACTCAACGATTTTCATTTTTTCGTATGCTCAAAAGAATCTTGAAAGTTAATTCTTTATGTAATTCGAATTCACATGTATTTACATTATTGACTAATTTAAGCGTGTTTAATATCGTTGCTCAAGGACTTGAAAAACCTAATAAAAATATAATATAAACAATAAAATTTGTAATGAATAGTATTAACATCTCAAGGGTAATTTTTATTGATGAAGGCTGGATATACAATTCTTAACACCAGATATATGAAGTGCTTCTAGTTAACATTGCCCCATTCTGATTATTGCATATTTGCATGACACAAAAAACACGATATCCACTTGGAAAGATAATGAAATGATTCCAATTAATATTGTTCAACTGTGATTAGTGTTTCGTTGTAGGATACGAGATTCTCATCAATCTCAAACAAATTTGCATAAATACGTTGTTAAAAAACTATTTGACTAACCAATCATTAACAAATCTGCATAAATCATTGGTTTAAAAAATAAATAACTAAAATAAAATAATGGAAATTAATGAAGGGAAAAATAATGAATTGGCCCCAAAAAGTATCGAACATCACCAAACAGCATGTTCAATTCAAAAAGAGGAGAGTTGACACACAGCACAAGAAACTCAGATGATAAGAAATAGGTAAACAACAGTTAAACAGAATACAGCTAATAGCATGCATCAACAACATAATCCAGTCAAGAACAATCAAATGAAGTACTCCTATATAAATATACTACACATATTCAAGTAACTCGCCAAACTAATTTTTTCAATCTCAACATCACCATAAAGACAGTTTCAGAAAATGCTTATACAGAAAACAAAACTGTTCAATTAACAGATGAGTCACCCAAGCAACAACTGGGAATTAATATAATGAATAGTTCCAGACTTCTGAGCAGGTTAGAGTTTCCCGCAAAAGCTATCCAACTTTTCCAAACAACCCAACAAAACAAGTGACACATCATAAATCATAACAGCTCATGAGTTCAAATCAGTAAACCATCAATTTCCTTGCAGCTCACATATAAACCACTATTACAGAACCACATTTATGCCAAGAATCTCCTTGCAGGTTCATATATAAACTGCTACTCCAGAAACCCTCATAAGGCATTACAAGAGTGTGGCTAAAATGGATTCCCACAACTAAGAATCAGAACCAGCACCAGCAGATATATGAAGTTATGCCCTTCATAAATACTAGGGACATTTAAGTCACAGTTGAAAGGCGAGCATAAATAACTTATGAAAGAGAGGGAGAAAAGTAGAGGGTTGAGACTAATTTTGATCAAGAAAGTAATTCTGCTGGGATCATAACAAACAAATCACTTAAACAGATTACAGTTATTATCCAAAAGTACCAAAACACAAACATAGAATCTCAAGCTGGAAAACTTTCTGCCATGAAACTAGGGATATAAGCAGCCATATCTTGCCTTTAGACAGATGTCCCATAATAATATTTAATATCTCCTCAAGCTCAAATATCATTCATAATAGAACACACATAAATCAATCACCAATCTTAAACCCTTGGAGACATTCACGCATTTACCAAAATTCATCATACCATCAACTTGACCTCATCAAATAGCAATCCCTGTTAAAGTAGTTTCACTGAATAAACATGACCAGTTCCATAGAAAATGAGAAATGGCATGTTCACTTGCAAGTAACTGATTCAAAACTTGAAATAAGAATCCAATCTGTTGTTAGCCTTTGCTTGTAGAAAAATTTGCATAGAAGTCATCACTTTGATCATCTTTATAGCCATTAAAATTTATAGTATACAAGAAGCAAGAAGAAATCAAACACAACACTTTCGACAATTCAATGAAACCATAACACCACACTGTGGAAATTACAGCACACAATAAAAGGGAGACGGTCAACAGAATGCAGGCATCAAATAAAAATCATAACATAATAAAATAAACTCAAAATTAGAAAATTCCACTCATAGATTTCATTATGCATTTCGTCCAAAAACATTTATACAATCACCTAGATACCCAGCAAACCTAATGGAAGAGCAATACAAAACATAGATTAACAGAATAAAAAAAGAGCAAAACCCTAGGGTTTCCATTCAGGAGCTAGTGAACTTGGTGACCGCCTTCGTCCCCTCTGAAACCGCATGCTTCGCCAGCTCGCCAGGCAGCACCAGCCTCACAGCAGTCTGGATCTCACGGGAGGTGATCGTTGGCTTCTTGTTGTACCTCGCGAGCCGCGAGGCCTCCTGGGCGAGCTTCTCGAAGATGTCGTTGATGAAGCTATTCATAATGCCCATGGCCTTGCTCGAGATCCCAATGTCTGGATGGACCTGCTTCAGCACCTTGAAGATGTAGATCTTGTACGTCTCAACGCTCTTCTTCACCCTCTTCTTCTTCTTGTCGCCGGCGGCGCCACCCTCCTTCGGGAGCTTCTTCCCGGCCTTGGGCTTCTTCTCTGCCGGAGACTTCTCGCCGGCGGGCTTCTTCTCAGCAGGTTTCTTCTCTGCTTTTGTTGGTGCCATTTTTCAGCTTTTTTTACTGATAGAAAGATTGAATTGTGTGGGAGTTTTCAAGGACTTTGTGAGATGAGTTGATGGTAAAATGAATGAGTTGGGGTTTATATAGAATTAGGGAAATGATTCTGATTGGTTGACTTCGAGCGACGAGGATCGAGGATATCAGTCGTTCGATTTGGTATCGCTTGAACGGACAAGATTTGATTAAACGAGTGACCTGTGTGAGATGTGTGAGCACCTGCCACCTAGCAGCAGTAGCATACATTTTTCTTACTTTTCGTGCCTTTTATTTTTTATTTTATTTAATATTATTTATTAATTTAAAAAATTAGCAATATAAAATATTAATTAATAAAAAATGTATAAATTTTTACTTAAATTGTGTAATATTTGTAGAAAAATATTATCATTCTTTAAAATTTTTACACGCCTCAAGAATGATTCGTTCGACCTTTATTATAATAAAATTTTAACTCATACAGCGTAATAGTTTTCATAGATAAATTATTTAATAGATAAATGATAATTTTATTATTTTAAAATTAAAATTGATAAATGTTCTCTTCTCTCTCCACTAGGGTTGCAAATGAGCCAAGTCTAACATTGGCATTATCTAGCAAAAATGATTTTTTTGTTTACCTGTTCGAGCTTGAGCTCGTCGAGTTCGATTTATGACGCTCAATATCGACTCGACAAGAAAAGACAATAGCTCGAGCTCAGCTCGACAACGATTGAAATCAAAATGCTCGAAAGATTGCTCGATCTCGACTCGAGTTCGACTCAAATTTAAGAAAAAAAAATACCATTAAATACATATAAAATATTATAAAATTTATATATAAGGAGTATTTTAGTAATTCACCACATATTTCCAGCCGCCCGACCTTCCAAAATCTATGCCCGCGATCGACTGGATAACATACTCGAACCACTCGAGCTCGACTCAAGTTCGGTCAAATCCAAGCTTGAGCTCGAACCGAGCTTTGACTCGAATGGCTCGCGAGCGGCTCGATTTTTTGCAGCCCTACTCTCCACTTTGACAATATCTTACTCTTACCCCTCTCTGCCCATCCCAATTCTTCCTGTGAGGATGACAACCAATAA